GAATTCGAGAGGCTTTCGACAGGCATGTAGCCGGCTGTGCGCATTCGGTCAGACATTCAACAGGCTTTGCAATGCCTCTCAAAGCGATTTCATGATTCCCGTAGATTCTTGATGAATGCCTTTTATGAGGCATTAGGATTCCTCATAGTGTTGCATAAATGTCTCTGTAATGCCCGTTTTCGAGATTTTGGGGGATTTTTGATTCCTGTCTAAATCACCAGAAGACGATTTGGAAATCGTCTGCAAATCCACAGATTTCCGTCAGGGTTCGCGAAAGGACACCGCGAACCCCCGCGAAAGGATCCGCGATCACTAAAGGACACCCGCGAACGGGCCCGCGATCACTTAGAATAGGACACCCGCGACAGGAGACTCATGACTCGCGACCGCGACTCGCTATCCTACTCCATCCCCCAGCCACAGGTGCCGAAGTCGAAGCGAAGCCATTGGATTGGACCTCTATTTGCCCTTTTGAGTAGCACTAGTCTTTTGCTAGGAAGACTATTGCCACCGCGAGACGGGCGAGATCGAGGCGTAGGTCGAGAGGGTCTCGCAGTCGTGTATGAGGGATTCCGAGGAACTTCACGGGGACATTCACGTTATGAACGTTTTACCAATACAAGTACACGTAACATAGACAGCAAACCGATGTCAAGGCTGGTCTTGGTCACGCTTTAGCAGCAGCAGAACATAATCAACGGCCATAGTTCTTCCCTCATACACGACTGCAAGACCCTCTCGACCTACTCGTCGATCTCGCCCGTCTAGCCGTGGCAAGCCGCTTGCGCGTAAGCTGCACCTCGTGAGGTTCGCTCTTGTGGCGGGTCGCGCTTCCGACCCTTCGCGCTTGCGGTCGTTCGCTCTTGCGGCGTTCGCGCTTGCGCCGGGTCGCGCTTTCGGCATTCGCGCTTACGACGAGTCGCGTTTGTGACAGTTCGCTCTTACGGCGCGCGCCCGACTCAAAGTCGCAGTGCTGGTGCGCAAAAGGTTGCTCGAACATACTCCCTTCTGAAAGTCCAAAACATCCCGTTGAAACCACCCTCAGATCACCCCTGCGCACCTTTCAACCGTTCGCACGAAAATTGTCCAAAGGGTTGACACCGCCTTTTAGGACGGTCCCTGAGACTCAAAGTCGCAGTATTGGTGCGCAAAATGTTGCTGGAACATACTCCCTTCTGAAAGTCCAAAACATCCCGTTGAAACCACTCTCACATCACCCCTGCGCATCTTGAACCGTTCGGACGAAAATTGTCCAAAGGGTTGACACCGCCTTTTAGGACGGTCCCTGAGACTCAAAGTCGCAGTGCTGGTGCGCAAAAGGTTGCTCGAACATACTCCCTTCTGAAAGTCCAAAACATCCCGTTGAAACCACTCTCACATCACCCCTTCGCATCTTGAACCGTTCGGACGAAAATTGTCCAAAGGGTTGACACCGCCTTTTAGGACGGTCCCTTAAACTCAAAGTCACAGTGTTGGTGCGAAATAGGGGTGTAGCCGCGCAGCGCCACTTGGAAAAAAATTCAACTTTCCCCGTTTATAAAGGTGTCTAGCTGTGTGTGTGTGTGGACGCGACAAGGTTAATGGGGGGAGGCTATGAAGAGGTAATGCCAGCTGTAAATAAAGGGGAATGATGAAGGCGGCGAAGCGAATCAGAGCGACTCGTGAGGTGAGGGGTGAGAGGGGGAGTGGCTCGTTTGGTTTGGATGGGGCGCGTTGTCGGGAGAGCCCCTGTGATCGGTGGGGTAGGCATCCAAACGTGCACGTATGCAAGAGCAGTGGACTAGAGGTGGGGCGTCTGACGCCGTCACAGCAGGGGCGAGCATACGACGGGATCAGGAGAATGGAGACGAGCTAATCGTTTAGACGGGAGTATGAGGAGATGAGTAAACACGACCGTCGGAGGGGCTGGGGTTGGGAGTGGGAGGTGTCTCATGTGAACGTCTTGCAGATAAAATATGTAGACCAAATCTGCACACCAAATCTGCTGACCAATTCATTTGCATGCTTCAGATTAAGGTGTCATGATTATACAGGTGTCTTGTCGCGCAGCTTCCCATGAAATAAATTAAGAGAAACTATTCGAAAAAGACGAATCAGTACACCCAGTGCCATGACAATGACAGGGGCCGGAGCCCAGTTACAGTTGGGCACTAAATTTAGTGATTTCCTTCATAAGATGAGGTCATGTAGGTTAAGGTTGGCGTGGGCTTAAAACAACAGTTTTGCATGAGCGTTAACCTTGAACGTCCCGACTATTTCGCCATGTGTAAAAGAAGGCAGTGACGCAAACCGGTAGCATTTTCCGAAGGTGTTTACTGCAACGGTTTGAGGGCAGGTGTTCGTGTTCTGTGTCTCTTCCTCGCTATCTATTTTTTTTCGTCTCCCTGTGTTTCACTTCTCCCTGTGTCTTCATCCATGTTCTTCACTCTATCTCCTCTCTCTCTCTCTCTCTCTCTCTCTCTCTCTCTCTCTCTCTCTCTCTCTCTCTCTCTCTCTCTCTCTCTCTCTCTCTCTCTCTGGTTGATCTAGAGCAAGACGATGATCAGAAATGTCACAAATGCAGAAAGAATCTGAAAAAGGGAGTGAAGTGCAACCGCTGTAAAAATTTGTATCATAACAAATGTGAAAACAGAGACCCCAATCAAGACAGTGATGGTTATGTTTGTAAAACATGTAAAGCTGAAAGTGTGGAACTAGACAAACAATCCCACAATATTGAAGATGAAAGAGGGAAGGAAAGTGAACTACTGACAACACTCAAAAATGAAAATGAGAAGCTAAAATTATACGTGAGAGAGCTGAGCGACAAGTTGGACACAAGACTCATGGAAATAATTGGCATGAGGAATGAAATCACTGAAATGAAAGCAATTATAAATGAAACATTAGATGAAGTCGAGAATGAAGCCCATACCCATGCAAATGAAAAAGTTGAAAAATTGTGCCAAAACAACAGAGAGAAAGTTAACCTCTCATTCACATGGACTAACTCACCTAAACCATTCAAAGCAAGAAGGACACTTGACATGAATCCAAAAGATGTCATAACCACCAGTAACAGGTATGATATCCTTCAAAACCTGGAAAGTTCTAACCATACTGACTTGTTACAGAACAATGTGAAATATAGCATGAACAAACCAAAATGTGCAAGGAAACGCAAAGTACTCATCCTAGCAGACAGCCATGGGAGGGACTTGTCAACCAAACTGGCCTCCAAACTGCCAAGCAATTATACAGTTGTTGGATTTGTAAAACCTAATGCAAGCCTTGGAAAAGTAGCACAACCAGTGAATGAACTAACAAGAGATTTCACAAGCCATGACACAGTTGTCATATTAGGTGGAGCCAACAACATTCGGAAACACCAACATGAATCTGTTCAAGATATTGATGAAGGAATGCATAGCATAAAAGAAGCATCAAAAAGAATGAAAGTGATAGTGAATGCTATACCAGTAAGATATGACAAACAGTATTTAAACAATGTAATATGCAATGCAAATGACTACATCAGTGATAAGTGCAAGAATACTAAAATCAAATTTGATGGCACCAGTGAAAAATTTAACAAACTGTGCTATACTAAGCAAGGTCTGCACTTAAACAACAAAGGTAAAAACATTCTGTGTGAGCGATTAGCTTATCTAATTATGAATGAAGATGAATTTAGTCCAAACATCAGTGAAGATAACAACAAAAATTTTATGGAAATTAGTACGGATTTTTAAGAGATGCCACTGGACAGAAAACACTGCCAAAATTAAACTGTAATAATATATGTCATATAAATGTAAATGGAATCACCAGTAAGACTCACAAGCTGGATCTGATGTGCCAAGAGATGAATGTCGAAGTTCTTTGTATCACAGAACACAAGTTAAATACTCCTGTTATTGCTCGTAACTTGCTAGAAAAATATGTTTGTACCTCAATATACTGCAGAGAGAAACAAGGTGGTGGAGGAGCTGCTATATATATATCAAGAAAGGGGTACAATATAAAGAAATACCCATACATCACTTGAATATAGAAGGAACTTTTGAATCAACAGCAATAAAAACGGACAGGAATGTGGTGGTATGTGTTTATAGACCTCCAAAGGGAGACATTGAAATATTTTATGATCAGTTAACAAAATGTCTACAAAAAGTCAGCAATAACAAAAATATATTCATCTGTGGGGACCTAAATATTGACATCAAGACCTGTGACAAAAACAAACTAAATATGAAGAAAGAGCTGGAATACTTCCTCGCTCAACAAGGGTTTTACACCATTACAGATAAGTATACCAGAGATATGGGCTACTGCAAAACAGCCATAGACCACATAATAACCAATGTGGACAGGGAAGAGATTAAAAGTGATTGCAACATTGAAGCAGGTATCTCTGATCATACTCTTCAGTATGTCTCATTTCACAAGAGTAAGAGGAACTCAGGAATAAAATTCAAATATCAGAGAGTCTACCCACAAACTAAAATAGCACTGTTTTGTAATGAACTGGAGAATCAAAGTTGGTCTGATATGTATGAAGCCAAAACTATAAATGAGAAATTCAATAACTTTCATAAAAAATTTTCAGAACTGTATGAAAACTATTTTCCATTAAAAAAATGCAAAGTGAATGAAAAAGACAAAAGGTGGGTTACAAAAGGCATTGAAATAACATCAAGAAATTATCGGGAACTATGTCAGAAAATCAAAAGGAATCATGACCATGGCTTTGAAGAATACTTCAAGAAATATAGATCAATCTATCGCAAGATCCTTAATGCTGCAAAAACACTAGCAACTGAATCCGAGATTAATAATGCAAAAAATACAACTAAAGCTATTTGGACAGTCATAAATAAACAAATGGGGAAACCAGAAATACAACACAAAAATATAAGCATAAAACTAGAGGACAACACAATCTGTACAGATCCGACCAGAATATCTGAAGAATTTAATAAATACTACTGTAACCTGGCAAAGAACCTGCAAGATGATAACAAAGAAAAAGGCACCACATTCAATGAAACAGAATTCTCAATGTACCTAAGCAAAGTATCAGAAAATGACATCATTCTAGCCATAGCCAAACTTAAAAATAAAAAATGTTCCGGATATGACCATGTGTGTGATGAGATTATAAAGACATGTCACCAACAACTTATCAAGCCATTAAAGCATCTTGTGCAAGCTTCCTTTGATGAAGGAGTTTTCCCAGAGCTGCTAAAATTGTCAAAGGTTATGCCACTCTACAAGAAAGGGGAAGAAACGGAAACTGGAAATTATAGACCTGTTGCAAACATAACTACTTTCTCAAAAATTTTTGAAATTGTCATGGAGAAGAAACTACGGGACTACCTATATAGATTTAATATCTTATCAGATACACAATATGGATTCGTGAAAGGGAAAAGTACCACTGATGCTATAGTGGACTTTATCCAAAAAATTTATAACTCATTCGACAAGAAAAAACTTTTAACCGGAATCTTTTTTGACATGTCTAAGGCATTCGATCTTGTAGATCACAAGATACTTTTAACAAAACTCAGTGCTTATGGTATTAGAGGTAAAGTGTTAAAGTGGATGGAGTCCTACCTGTCACTAAGAAAACAAGTTGTGGAAATTAGCTACAGTGATGGAAAAGTTTTAAGAACATATCGATCAAATTCCGAAATTATAACTTGTGGTGTCCCGCAAGGGTCAGTACTTGGTCCACTACTGTTCCTGCTGTTCATAAATGACCTCCAAAAATTTATCAAAAACGGTCATCTAGTAAATTTTGCAGATGATGTCA